GTGAGAGAATTCACCAGAGCCAGAGCGGGGAGCAGAACAGGCATACTGACAAAGTACACTGCTGAGGGGAGCAGCAGGCAGCAGGAGAGGTCGGCGCGCCATGTGGGACCCTCCTCAGGTGTCTGGGGAGCAGCCGGGGATCAAACCGGCGCTGCAGAGGCTGCGGGCAGCTTTGCAACCCAGCGCTCAACCCCAGAGTCTGCGCCACTGCCCCAGAGTCTGCCACTATAAAAGGACTGTTTTACAGAAGACCCAAGGTGCCTACTTACCAGTGGAGAGGTCACTCTGACATTCTTACCTCCTTTGTCAGGGGCCTCCCCAGGAACTGTCACACATGCAGATTTAAGGACAATGACTCACTCTTAGGAGAAAATGACAATCTAAAAGGAACAATAAATTTTTAAAATAATTTAGGAAGCTTTAGATGAGCCATCTCCTTAACTGTGAGATAGAGTGAAGCAGAGTTTCTCTATTTTGACTTTGCTTGAGTCTGTCAAAGGCTTTTCTCCGTCACACTGCCTAAGCTTATCCTCAGGGTAGCAGTTAGTGCAAATGCTCTGTCCTGACGTCCCCAACACCACCCAGGATCTTTCCTCAAAATTTAGTTTTTGTCTCTGGCTTTCCATCTATCAAATCTCCAAATCCCAGTTTTCCCAGTGATTCTTGTGCAACAAGTTGTTTCTCATTCCTCTGATTGATTTCTGCACAAAACGTTTTCAGAATTATTGTCATGGAAACTCTTCATGATTTCTCTTTAAAGCTTTTACATTCACCACAATGGTCCAGCAGGAAGCTGCTGGAAGTTCTTGGACTTGAAATTCATGGCCTAGACCCTCCAAGCTGAATATGTGCCATTGTCATCCCTTCTAAGACTGAGTCAGATAAGCTATTTTCTGTGACCTCTTGGGACAAAGCTGGACACTTCTACCTGCACTAATTCATTTTTGCATAGTACCTAAATACTCATCATTCGCTTATATATTCTATTTATTTGAACTTGTTGTTTTTATTACCATCATATTACTGAGCATGTAATCAGCGATCAATAACTCTTTTCTGCTAAAGTGACTAAGGAAAGGCTCATTATAGTAGAAGCAACATTTGAACCAGTACTTAAAGAATGAGTAATGTTCCCTAAATGGATCTGCGGAAGAAATTCTAGATGAAGGGAGCAATTTGTACAAATAGATAAAACAATGAAGAGTTTATAGGTGACTGGCAAGGCTTTCCAATTTCCACTTGGCGTTTGAGGCACAGGCAATTAGTTGTAGGATGTGAGCACTTGGCTCCCTCCCCCAGCTATATATAATCAGAAATTGAAGATTAGTCTTCCACTTGAATATACGTCTGTGTTGATCAGTCTTTTCTAGAAGAAAGTGCTTCCTCATCTCTCACTAGATCTCACCTCCTTGAGATAGCTCAAGGATAGTATGGTGAATAAAGCTGGAGATGTAATTAAAATAGCTAAGAGCTTACTCTCCTAGGTAATCTAATTTATATTGGTATTTCAGCATAAAAGTACATTCAAATGAAAGCATTATACTCTTGGGATTGATCTTGTAAGCTGTTTGAAAATATAAAGTGTGTTCTCATGTTAGTGTATGAGATGATGTGCTTGCCAGCAAGAAGTTTTAGAACTGTGAATGATACCAAAAATTTCAGATGCTCAGCCTTTTTTATGCTACTTGCAGTGTTAAGAAGCAGTTCTTCCATAAAATAAGGCTCTGGTTAAAGACCTCAAGGGTTGTCTAAAACTAAGCTGTATTTAGATTCTTTTGCCTATTAAACTTTGTTTTTACAAAACCTTCCTTGTTCTTTACCTAAATAAAGTAGAAATAGATTCATAAATTTTAACCTACTGCTTCCCCCTTTCCTTGGAAATAACCTCTGAAGGAAAAGTACTCCAAAAAGATGGTATCTTTTATTAGGTGACAACAAAGACAAGATAGTTGCCTACTTCTTAAAAAGTTAAAGTGAGCCTTCCCTGCTCTTTTCTAAAATATATTGCATGGAAAACTGGAATGAACCCACGGCTTGATTGTTAAAATTGAATGCCTTCAGTGGAGCCAGTGTCTTCTCTCTGCTTGTCTGCTTACCAGTTGACCCAAAATAAAGATCCATGTTAGAATGAAACTGAAACAAGCTATATGGTAGCTTGGTGTACAGATAGTGAATTAGCATTTCTGAGAGCGATGCTGTCATTGTAGAATATGGAATTCCTTGAGAAATATATCTTTAGGAGGTAAATATCTCCTTGGTCATTTTATACACGTGCTAAAATAAGCCCTAGAATTAGAATCAGGACTCCTGGATTATAGCCCTGGCTCTGAGCAAGACATTCTAACCTCTTTGACCCTAGTTTCCATCTTCTATAAAGAGTAGCAGATTGTGTCTGAAGATCAATAAGAATCTTGTCATTTTTTTATATTTTAAATTTTATTGCTGCATTCACAATACCCTAGAATGAGCAGTGAGCTAAGCCAAGATCAGCATTACAGTTTGGTAGGTGATACCCTCCCTTTTGGCACAAGGGGTTAACCACCGCACTATGAAGCAATCCGCAGCCTCTGCAGCACCAGTTCAATCCTTGGCCAGCCAGGGAGCAACCCACATGGCACAGTAGCCCTCTCCTGACTCACCTGCTGCTCCCCACAGCAGTGTATTTCGGTCAATCTGCCTGTTCTGTTCCCCACTCTGTCTCTGGTGAATCCTCTCACCTCCTGCATCTCTGGCCTGTACCCCAGCTCTTGTATGCATAAAATAAATAAATCTTAAAAAAAAAAAATTTGGTAGGTGATCAACAGCATTTATACTAGGATCCTTAAATCTGTCTATTCCACTCTTACATGTCCTATCAACATACACTAGATTCTGTGGTACTGTTTTTGGACCATGTGTGTATGTTTCCATCTGCTTGATGTTTCTGTGTATCTACTCTGATTGTGTTCACACTTCCTTCTTGGCCTGCTTCTTTTAATTTTCTCTCTGGATTCATGGTACAGAAATGTCATTCTCTTCCTTTTCTGACTAACCTCTTTGTAATGACTAAGTTTTTTGCCATGTACTATTGTCTGGCTGTTCCTGACCTGGCCTCTCCGTTCTGACTTGTATTTTTCTAGAACTGCTGTGATCATTAACGCTGTCATTTATTAAGAGTTTTCCATGTGCCCGCCACTTTACAAAGTGCTTTATTTATTTCATGTCATGTAACCCTTACAGCTGGCCAGTACACATAGATCACTGTTAGGACCATTTTACAAATTAGAAAATGAAGGTTCTGAGAGGTGAAAAATCGCCCAATGTTAACATAGTGATAGATATGGAGTTGATATTTTGTCTGCCTCCAGAATTCACCCTGTTAAACAATAGGGTGTCTCCATGATGATGATACCAACAGTGTGTGGAGCACTTCTGGGTGCTGAGCAGTGCATGTGCCACCTTTGTCTTCCCATATTATAGTAGTAGAAACTGCTGTTGTACACGATCTGCTTTTAGGTTAATAAATATAAAGGGTCAGGGTTCACAGGATTTGGACACTCTTGAACATTCTTTCAATGTGTTTTTCCTTTTGCTCTCCTTAAAAAAATTTTTTTTTAAGATTTTATTTTTATTTATTTATGCATATAAGAACTGGGGTACAGGCCAGAGGTGCAGGGGGGTGAGAAGATTCACCAGAGACACAGTGGAGAGCAGAACCGGCAGATCTGAAATACACTGCTGAGGGGTACAGTGGGCAAGACAAGAGAGGTCTGCTGCGCCATGTGTGTTGCTCCCTGGCCTGGGATCAAACTCATGCTGCAGTGGCTGGCAATAGCTTGATAGCTCTGAGACTTTAGCCCCTGTGCCATGAGGGTGGCCCTCTTTTCTATTTTCATGGTCAACATCATAATTTTTTTCTGACTGCTACGAGTATTAACAACTGAATGTCAATTAAGTGTTCACTTTTTTTTCTTTTGGGTAAGTTAGCACTGTCATATTCTTTATTTGATATCATTGCTTTTTTTTTCTCTATCAAAAGTAGATAATAGGGATAAGATAACAAGGGGAAAGGAGAAAAGGTACTAAGGAAAGACAAAGGGAAAGTCCACATGCTAGAAATCTCTGGAAAATCTAAGTCTGGAGAACAAAGATTTTAAACTAAAAACCCCATTTATTTGGTAGTTGTCATTTGTTGAAGGAATGCTTGATAAGCAAAACATAGAATTTGACCTCACCAACCTAAATTTTCTTGTCTGATAGTAGAGTATTAGTATATTTATCACAGTCCGTGGTTAGTTGCTGTGATTAAATGAAATAGCCAAGGTAAAAATCAAAATTGTTAGTGTAGTGTTCAAAATATTAGTTTGCTATTTTATCTTTAGGTAGTTAGTCAAATAATCCAGAGTGTGTGACTAATTACTGTGGTGTGACTTTTTTAGATTTAGAAAATTTCGAATGTCTGTAAGTAAAACCTTGTCAAACTGTACCCTTAATATTTATGTATTTGGCTGGATATAAATTAGTTATGTCTCATAAAAAAAGGAAACTCAGTATACAGACTGAACCTTCAGCTGCTGCATATGGTTAGCTGGTATTTCTCACTTATTATACCCTGCATGGAGAGCTACTGCCTGTAAGTTTGTATTCCTTAAGATTATGTTAGTTATTAAACTTTAGCAGAAAGAGAAATAATGTATAATGTCTTCTAAATATTTACTTTAAGTATACTATTTTAGTAAGCAAATTTTCCAGAAATACTTATTTTTACTTTAAGAAAAGATATATTCAAAACTAAAATATTGTCCCTAATGTTATTAATTCCCAGTATATAGATTTCTTGTGGTGTACCCTTCTTTGGGTACACCACTCACAGGTAGGAACGCAGTTTAGATAGCAAGCAGTAAATGTCAGATTAGCCTGATATTTTTGAGGCAACCTTATATCAGAAACATACCTTTGAATGGACTTCTCCCTGTTAGTCTGCTATCATAACCCTGATGTTTTTGTGTCATTAAATTTAGATTCGTCTTCGGTAGGCTCTTGAGCAAACTCCATTACTCCTGTGGCTCTGTGGCTGGAGAGTTCTAACCAAGCCCAGTATCAGGAAAAGTAGGTGTGGACTTGTAGGGCTGTGCTGCTCAGCAGCTAGAATGTGGTTGGCAGTCTCCTCCCCTTCCTGCACTTCAGCTCTTCACTGTTGCACTCTGGAATGACAGGCATTCCTGCGTGAAGAGAGCCAGTGTGAGGACATATTTGTAAGAGTCACAAGTGCCCAGACCAGGGTAAACGAAGACAGAAACTCCAGCAGATTAACTGGTCTCATGCCGTTTCTTGAAGCTTGGCGGTGACACTGAAAGAGGACTGCCTATCCCCTCCTTATGTGGATTTATCTTTTGAGAAAAGTTTGCTTTAGTCCGGGATAGTTTGTTGTCGTGAGGCACCATATAATATAATCATGGGGCAAGCTGACGTCTCCAGACCGGTAAATCCAGATGCATTTGGTGAGTAATAGAAGGCAGAGAATCAGAATCTTGACAGAAACAAGGCAAGCCTACAGGTGAAGTTGAATGTTTTATAGGAATTCAAATGTGAGGATTTTGATGTTTATAGCTCTGGGATGTTTATAACTTTGTAAAAAGTAAATGAAAACACGTTTTTTTCATTCAGTTATATTAATTTTGTACTCATAGTTTTGTTTACTTAATCCCTTTGGGGTTTTTAAATGTAATACTGCTAAGAAACCATCTGTTATTTTCTTAGCCTTATAAAAGATAAGTGCTACAGAGAATAAGGAACCCTTATTTAGAATTCAGTAGTGATTTACTTATTTTTTCTAGAATTTGGGCATTTCATATATGTGATGTAGAACTAGAAGGCTTTTATAAACAGGACCATTTTTAAGAATTGACTTAATTTTTTAGACAGTTATACATTTTCCAAATAAGTCTGAGGCTTTTTCCATTGTGCTGTGTTTCCATTTCTCATTAAACAACACTTCGGTATAAACATTTCTGAAGGCAGTACTTCACATTTGAAGTGTTATTGAAAGATAGCTAGAAACCAAGCTGATATTATAAGATGAAGCTCAGAGTTTCAAAACTTGTAAGTGAAATGGAAGTCCATTGTCACTAAAGACTCATTTTCCCAGCCATATGGGGACATCAAAGTTGTAACAAATAGTTTTAAGTGGATGTCCATTAAAGGGTTGCTAAATATAAGCAAAAAGGAAGAAAGCCTGTGAATCATTTCTTGACACTGTGCTATTTTTTAAAAACTACACTTTCTCTTTGATTTATGAAGCAAGAAAAAACATGTTTAGTCCTAGACTGCTTTTTTTCCCCCAGAAAAGAAAAATGTTGGTGACTTTTAAAAAATAGAAAACTGTGTGGAGACACAGGTAATACTCCCAAATGTGTCTCATGACTTAACGTAATTTTGTTTCTAAAGGCATGTTTTCTCCTTACAACTTGCCAATTGAAATTCCTGTGAAGTAATTTTTATGTTTTACTGTAATGGAAATACATGGATCACATAGTGAAATCATTCAGCAATAGATTTTTAGTACTGAAGCCAGGATTTGACTCACTTTTCCTTGCATACCAGGACTGGGTTCATGTCAACTCAGTAGCTCACTTTTTTCTAAAGATGTTTCATAAGTAGAATGTTTCATAAGTACAAGAAGTTACATAGAAAAAAAAATTTCAATCTCTGGGGTTTCTGTACAGCTTAAGAAATAAAATTGACAGCAGATACATATCCCACCCCATTTCTCAATGCGTGATTCCCTTATATTGACATTTTGTTCCTTGTTCCCAGTGGTAATGACTCTCCTGAATCTGATAAATTCACATTTGGAACACTAAATTCTCCTGTGATTTCCACTCCAAGGTTTAGTTCTTTGTTAACAGATACTATAAGGAACTGGATTATGTTAGGTTCTTATCTATGAGATGGAAAAGCACAAAGTGAGTAAGCAGGTACAACTTACTGATGGGTGGTAGTCCTTATAGAGAATGCTCATCTAGCATATACTATACAAAAATTTCTTCTGAGTAAAATTTGATATTATTATGCTCCTATAAAAAATGAGACTCTATTTTTCTGCCTAACAGTAGCCTAGTAAAAGACCTGTGGTGAAGTAGAAATCACTCCAGTACCTAACTATTTTTTATTCTCTGGATTTAATTTTTGGATTTTATTTTCAATTACCTAAATCATTTTTAGATGACTGTAAGCTATTTTAATGGACAGACCTCATTATTTTATTTATAATTCAGGATGTATTCTGTTTGCACAAGTCAGGGCCAAGTCATGAAGGCTAACATTGACAACTTTGAGGACTATACCATTGCCTTAAAGATTTTTGCCAAACAACAATATCCTAATGGAATTTGAAAAGCATTTCAGTGGAAAGTCTTATCAGATTCTTTGGAAGGATAAATGTACCGAGTATATTAAAACCCAAATCATTTGTTTACAGCTCAGATTTATGATACAAGAATTAGCTTTGAACTTTAAAATTGAGGGTGCTAGGTTTGGCAAGCCAAGTGTTGTAAAATAAGTGACTGAATATATTTAAATTGATTTCTTGTTATTTTCAAGGTACTGATTGTAGTAGTGGACCCTGTATAAAATAACTCATGTCTGTGCCCTTAGGAAGTTTACTTCCTAGTTGAGAATTTAAAATATTAAAAGAAGAAATCCAAAGTTTATAAATTAAAACATCTCCCTTTCTTTAAATTAGTTGACTCCTTGACTTATGACCGGAGGCTATTAACCAATAGTCTGCTTTCAAATAAATAACCTTTGTATGAAGACTCATTCAGTTCTTGAGAAGTCAGTTTCCAACTAAAGTTTTTTATCATAGGCTCTTTCTCACAACTGATGAACTATTTGAATACAGACTAGAAATTTATGCTGTGCTATCTGTCCAGTCAAGGAAATAAGGGGTTATCCTCAGCAGGTTCACATACAAAAAAATTATCCTTGAATGAAATATGTCCATAGGAAAAGCTTAGATACTTAACCATATAAAATGTTTAAATGAATCTTCCTAGTTTTTAATCAACATTAGACATTGTTTCTATGTTCACTAGAGTTCTTTAATATGTATCATATTAAAACAACCAGCTAATTAGCACATGTCCTTAAATTAAGCACAAGACCAAAGAATTTTAAGAAGCTCTACCCAATCATTTAGTCTGGCACTTTGCTTCTCTCTGCCTTCCACTCCTCCATGCTAGCTTTTTTTTTTTTTTTTTCCTTCATATACATTTCATTTATTAGCCTTTTTTTCCCATTTTTCTTTTGCATAGGAATATGTTGCTTTTAAAGATAATGTCTTGTAATGTTTCTCTTCCCTACATTCCTTTTTCATCACCATTTGACTCACTTTATTCTGAAAGTTGTATTTATTGGTTCTCATGCTTATGATAATGGAAATAGGGAAAGATGATAAAAAATATATTGTCATGGCCTCCCTGGTCACACAAGGGGTCAAGTCTCAGCACTATGAAGCTATCCACAGCCAATGCAGCAGGATTTTGATCCCCAGCCAGGGAGGTGACCCACATGGCACAGCCAACCTCTCCTGGCTTGCCCGCTGCAGTATATTTCAGTAGATCTACCTGTTCTGCTCCCCACTTTGTCTCTGGTGAATCCTCTCATCCCCTGCACCTCTGGCCTGGACCCCAGCTCTGTATGCTTAAATAAATTTTTTAAAAAACCTTTAAAAATATATATTGTCACTGAAAGGCAAAATGGTAAGGAGGTTGCTGAATTAATAAAGTTTTGTGTAGCTATCAGGCAATATTAACAGGAATAAATGATAGGTCATTTAAAAATAAACAATTTTATAGGACTTTGAAGAAAAACACTTAGCATTATTTGGTCATCAGAATTATCAGGGACATTTCTTATATAGGCTGATCAATAAATGCTTTCTTCTGAGAAACTAGGCATATTCTAGGCATGTAATCCAGAAATCAGGAGGAAGTGACAATATAGGCATCTTTCCTGAACTTAAAGGATTTTCTCTTGTCATCAAATATAGAACACCAACTAAAAATGATGGTTCCTTCTTTCCACTTGGAGTTAAACTTGGGAAAGTTACAGTTTTTCCCATGAGAGAGTGTTCTATTTTGGCACCTCACTATGAAAACTTACTCTCAAGTTGGAATTTTTGTCGAAAAGCCTTGCACATCCAGCTGCCAAGGTCCAGCAGCATTGCTTCTAAATGCCCTCACAGTGAGAAGACTGTCTTTTCCCAGAGCTGGAATCTCAGACTTCACTGTACTTGCAAATTCAGAGAGAAGCCTTCTCGCTATCTTCTTGCATGCTTTCACAAATTCTTACTACTTCCCAAAGGTAAGAACTATGCAGTATACTTCCAAGGGAAGTTACAGACCTGCTCTCAACAAAGCCTGCTTTGTTCATTAGTAGCAGGTTTTGCTTTCTGTGATTTTGTTGTAGTTTTCTAAAACAGTTCTTTAAATCCAATAATGCTCTTTTAGATGGCGAAACTGGGGCCTCCCTGGTGGCCTAGGGTTAAGTCTCAGTGCTATCATTGCTGCAGCCTGAGTTCAGTCCTGGCTGGGGAGGTAACTTACATGGTACAGCAGACCTCTCCTACCTCGCCCGCTGCTCCCCTCAGCAGTGTATTTCAGTAGATCGCTGCCTATTCTCCCCACTCATCTGGTGAATCCTCTCACCCTCTGCACCTCTGGCCTATACCCCAGTTCTTCTATGCATAAATAAATACATCTTAAAAAAAAAATAGAATGCGGGCCTCCCCAGTGGCGCAGCCGTTGAGCGCCGGGTTGCGAAGTTGCCCGCAGCCTCTGCAGCGCTGGTTCAATCCCTGGCTGCTCCCTGGCCACCACCGGAGGAGGGTCCCACATGGCGCGCAGACCTCTCCTGCCTCGCCCACTGCTCCCCTCAGCAGTGTACTTCGGTCCTTCTGCCTGCTCTGCTCCCCGCTCTGGCTCTGGTGAATTCTCTCACCCTCCCGCGCTTCTGACTGTACCCAGTGCTTGTATAAATAAATAAATATATAAATAAAAATCTTTAATAAAAAAATAGAATGCAAAAATTAGTAACTATAATAGCACAAATACCATAAATGAATGTTCTCCACTTATAAGGTTATGATCCTGTCAAAATGCTGTACAAAACAAGATTTGTTTTAAGCGAGATGGGAATAAAATAATTCGAATCATTAAATTATAAAGATAATTGGTCACAGTATGTGTAAGTCAAATAATGCTGTACACCTTAAATTTAAAAATGTAATTGGCATCTTTTGATAATGGCATGTGTATCTTGTTACACAAAACTTTAGGCTGAGCGCTGGTGGCACAGCAGGTTGAGCGCAGCACTGCAAAACTGTCCGCAGCCTCTGCAGCGCGGGTTCGATTCCCCGGCCGGCCAGGGAGAGGCCCACATGGCGCAGCAGACCTCTCCTGCCTTGCCTGTTCTGCTCCATACTCTGTTTCGGGTGAAT